CATCATTTTCATTTCAGTGTGCTTCTACAGCTTTATTAGGACTAGTCTTGTAATGTTGGTTTATTTTTTTTAAGCATTATTAAGGGGGACCAAACAATCAAACATTTCAATCAGCATTTTCTGGTGTCTCTCCCCCTCGACACCACATCATTGTAATCATCATTTTCAGTCATCAATAAAATCATCATCAGCATTCAAAACCCAATTCTCTCTCAGCTTCCGCAATTGCTCACGACATTGGTTTTCCCGCACGGCACTGACAATCTAGTCTAGCGTGCGGCGAGGACCTCATTGGCGGACAGCAACCGCACTGACATCGGTTGCTTAGCCTTACGTTGCCCTTCCAAAGATCATCAGGAAGGCGTTGCGTAATAGTTAGCTTGATTACGGTCTTGTAGTAGCAGCTTCTTTTCTTACATTTTGGCCCTTAGTATACCATAGGTTATAGTGGTTGTGGTTGATGATTGTAGACTAAGGACATGTCCTTGGGTGGGGGATGGGTGCAGGGGGCATGACAGCCTGGCACGGGGCAAGGATGGTAAGGGGTACAAGGGAGCCATTGTGTTGAAAATTCGATCTTGGAACATAGGAACTTTGATGGGGAAGTCTATTGAATTGACTAAGTTTCTCCGGAAGATGAGGGTCAATATAGCTTGTGTCCAGGAGACTAGGTGGGTAGGGACTAATGCGCGGGAGGCGGACGAGTTTAAACTGTGGTACTCATGTGGCATGAGGGGTAAAAACGGAGTTGGCATCTTGGTGGAAGGGAACTCAGAGAGCTAGTGGTAGAGGTTAGGCGAGTGAATGATAGGTGGATGACTATTAAGTTAGCAATTAGAGGGCCTACTTTGAATGTTATTAGCACTTATGCATCCCAAGTGGGCATGGATGAGGAGGTTAAAAGGCGCTTTTGGGAGGGTTTGGATCAGGTTATGCATGGTATTTTACCCACTGAGAGAATATTCATAGGAGGGATTTTAATGGGCGTACCGGGAAGACTGTTGATGGTTATAACGAAGTGCACGATGGCTTTGATTTTAGGGATAGAAACGGAGGTGGTACTTCGCTACTAGATTTCGCTAAGGCATTCGATTTGATGATAGCGAACTTGAGTTTTCAGAAGAGGGAAGAGCACTTGGTTACCTTCCAGAGTACAATGACCAGGACTTAAATTGATGATCTCCTTCTTAGGAGGTGTGATAAAGGCCTCTGCACAAATTGCAAGGTTATCCCGAGTGAGAATCTCGCGACCCAGTATAGGCTTTTGGTAATGGACTTAAACAATGTGATAATGAGTAAGAAGCGAGTTTGGTGGGTCGATCGAAGATCATGTGGGGAGTCTTGACTAAGGACAAGGCTCAGGAATTGTAGGAGAAGTTGATGGCTATGTGGGCTTGTAGGAGTAGTGGGGACAGGAGTGGTATGTAGATGATGATGGCGAACTGCACTAGGGAGTCTTCGAGAGAGGTGTTAGGGGTTTCGAAGGGTTGTGCTGGCGGCCACTACTGGGACTGGTGATGGAATGAGGATGTCCAAAGGAATGTAAAAGCTAAGAAAGTGGCATATTTGAAGCTAGTAGAGAGCACGAACGAGGAGGAGATGAGGACCAACAGAGAAGGTATAAAAAATATAAGAAGGAGGTGAAGCTAGCGGTCATAGAGGCTAAGACTACAACATTTGCTCGTCTATATAATGAACTAGAGGACAAAAAGGTGTTTCGGGTAGACAAAGTGATAGAAAGGAAGGCTCGTGATCTGGACCAAGTGAGGTACATCAAAGACGGGGAAGGTAGAGTTTTAATGGAAGTGGCACAAATCAAGTGAATATGGCAAACTTACTTTCATTAACTCCTGAATGAAGTGGGGACAAGAATATTGTGCTGGGCGATTTGGAGCACTAAGAGAGTCGTCATGATTTTCGATATTGTAGGCGCTTTAGTATTGAGGATGTCACTAATGTTGTACGTAAGATAAGCAGGGGCAGAGCGACCGGGCCAGATAAGATCTAGGTTGAATTTTGGAGGTACGTGGGTAAGGCTGGCTTGGAATGGTTGATTGGGTTGTTTAACATTATTTTTAGGACAAAGTAGATGCCCGAAGAGCAGAAGTGAGTATAATAATCCCATTGTACAAGAACAAAGGTAATATCTAAAATTATAAGAAATATAAGGGTATCAAGTTGATTAATCATACTATGAATGTTTGGGAGAGGGTGGTAGAAGCGAGAGTAAGGATGACTGTGTCTATTTTCGAGAATCAGTTCGGTTTCATGCCGGAACATTCGAATACGGAAGCCATCCATCTTGTTAGGATATTATTGGGACAATAAAGAGATAGGAATAAGGATTTTTATATAGTATTTATTGACCTAGAGAAAGCATACGACAAGGTCCCTAAGGAGGTCCATTGGAGATGCTTGGAGGCTAAATGTGTTCCTATAGCATACATTAGAGTTATTAAGGCCATGTATGATGGAGTTATCACTCGGGTGAGGACAGCGGGGGGAGACTCGGATTTTGGTTAAGATGGGGTTACACCAAGGATCTGCGCTCAACCCGTTCTTATTTGTACTAACGATGGACACACTGACGTACATATTCAAGGGGATATTCCACGGTGTATGTTATTCGCTGATGATATCGTACTGATTGATGAGACACAAAGCTGTGTCAACAAGAAGTTGGAGGATTGGAGATAGACCTTAGAATCTAAAGGTTTCAAGTTGAGCATGGCTAAGACAGAGTACTTGGAGTGCAAGTTCAGCGGCGAGACAGGGGGAGCGGACATGGACGTGAGGCTTGACTCGCAAGTCATCTCCAAGAAAGGAAGTTTCAAGTATCTTGGGTCAGTTATCCAAGAGAATAGGGAGATTGAGGAGGATGTCACACACCGCATAAGGGCAAGGTGGATCAAATAAACATCTGGCGACCTGTGTGACAAGAGTGTACCGCCATAACTTAAAGGTCAGTTCTACGAATTAGTGGTTAGACCGACCATGTTGTATGGGGCAGAGTGTTGGCGAGTCAAGAAATCCTATATCCAGAAGATGAATGTAGATGAAATGAGGATGTTGAGATGGATGTGCAGGAACACTAGGTTGGATAAGATTATGAATGAGGATACTCAAGAGAAGGTGCACGTGTCCCCCATGGAGGATAAAATGCGAGAAGCGAGGCTTCGATGGTTCGGGCATGTGAGAAGCAGAAGCTTAGATGCTCTAGTAAGGAGGTGTGAACGGTTGGCTCTGGCGGGTATGAGAAGAGCTAGAGGGCGCCCTAAGAAGTATTATATAGAGTTAATTAGGCAGGACATGGCGCGACTTCAGCTTACCGAGGACATGACCCTTGATAGGAGGGTATGAAGGTCGAGGATTAGAGTAGAAGGGTAATAGATCGCTGTATATTTTTCTCGGGTTTATTAGGGCCAGTCTGTTAGTATCTTGTCGTTGTTCTTAGATTGGTAGTATTATGTCTGTTTTCGTACTATCTTCCGCTTTGATTTTTTAGTACCTTATCGTTGTTATTGTTTGTTGCTATTGCTTTCTTCCATCTATTTTTCCGGTTCATACATTGTTGGTATCATTTTTCTGGCCTTTATTGTTAATATTTACTTGTTTCTATTCCTTTTTTCGAGCCGATGATCTTTTGAAAATAACTTCTCTATCTTTATAGGGTACGAGTAAGTTGTGCATACACACTACTCCTCATCCCACTTGTGAGACTTTTGTTGTTATTGTTACTTTACACTAATTAGTTACTCAACTAATCACATTTTTTAGTCAACAGCTAACTCCAGTTATCTAAGCTGAGGTTACTCCATCCTCAATATTCCATATATCCTTTTCTGCAAATTATATTCAGAGTGATCACAAACCCATTTCTGCAAAATCTATGGCTCATTTACTAGGAGGATTAGCTACTCCCTTTCTCTGCAAACCCATTAATGCTTCTTCTTCTTTCAACAACAATTACACTTCCGCTTCCGCTTCCGCTTCCTCTCTCCACGCGCTTGATTCTCTGTACATCAAACGTGCTGCCGAGCTAGCTGACAAATCGGCGGGATTCACCGCTCCTCATCCTAACTTCGGCTGCGTAATCGCCCATCCCAATAATGGTGGAGGTACGGTGGTCGGAGAAGGTTACTTATACGCCGAAGGGACAATTCCGGCGGAGGTGCAGGCTGTTGAAGCCGCCGTCGAGCGGTGTCGAGGTGCCACTGCTTATCTCAATATGGAACCTGGAGACTGTCACAGCAATAGCAGTGCAGTCTCTGCCCTGATCAAGGTATATTTACTTAGTTGACTTTCTCTCCTTCAATATAATCTATATCTTTACTCAAATAGTGACAGCATATAGAAGAAGGGTATCGCAAATGATATTTCCTTACACATATAAGACAGTTACTAGATTAGTTTGCTGTATTTTTGCTCAGAGGCGGATCCAGTATTTAAACTCTATGGGTTCAACTTTTAAGATTTTTAACATTGAACCCATTATATTTTTAAAGTTATGGGTTCAAATCTATTATTTTTACAATTTTAATGAATTTTTACACATAAATTTCTACTCCGCGTCGAAAGTTATTGGTTCAATTGAACCCATAACTAACACACTACATCCGCCTCTGTTTTTGCTACATAAGATTGAGAAAGCAATAGATTACTTCAATTGATCCTGGTCGCGTCTCTTACTTTTCGGAACATACGTGTTTCATGCATTTGGGACTGTCCAGATTCTCATCATTTTGCTGCTTGACTGACTGCACCTCCGTTTTTAATGGAAAATGGACCATGATGCTATGATGAATAGATAATAGTTCAATTCTTGGCTTCTACGGAAGTCCATGCTTGTCCGCCCAGCCAACAGTGGTGGAGCTAAATAATGGAAAAGGGATTCAAATTATACTGTGAAAATAGGGTAAAAAGTATTTTTATGGTTATGTATAAGCAATTGAATCCCCTTGATATAAGGGAAAAATCTAGTGGACTCAAAAATTGTTTTAGGCCGCAGCTTCGAATCCTAGGTGTGACATTCTATTGTTTTTAATCCCTTTGTATAAATCCTTGGCTCTGCAACTACTAGTCAATAGTTAATTCTGCTGTTAACAACTTGTGTTTTAATTGGAATGCATCCAGCTGGCGTTAACCTTTTCACTTTTTATAGCTTTAAGGAGCATGGTACGGTAAATGCAAAGTTGCTGAGAGGAGAAGTTCATGTAACACTTAAAAGTTCATCTGTTTATTACCACCTTATTAGCCAGGAAGACTGATTGCAAAAGTTGATCATATACATGCTTTTGTGTTAAAGTTTAGCTGGAAATGCGATTGATACATTTTTGTTAGGCAGGAATTAGTAGAGTTGTTATTGGAATACGGAATCCGTTGCAACACCTTCGTGGCAATGCCATTCACGCGTTGAGAAGTGAAGGCCTTCAAGTTGATGTGCTTGGGGAAGATACACAGAATAAGATTATTGAGGTAAAATTTAATATGTAGTACATCCAGGACAATGCACTTGATGAGCTTCTGTATGGCAATTTAATTCTTTGTTAGCTCTCAATTCTTAGTTTCTGGAGTAATTAAAACATACTACATGATACAAGGAAACCACAGCACTAACTGCACTTCTGATTTTATTCATCATATGTGTCCTTGTTTTTTTTACCTCGCAGTTATGGGGAATATCTGTCTACTTTTCACATTTTGATGAGATTAGAAGTCTCTAGAAAAGAAAAAAAGAGAGTACCTCATTAATGGTATGATGCTAAATGTTTTTGTAAAATCAGACCATATACTCAGTTTGCTACCTGTAGAAGAAATCTTTTGACAAATTACTTATGGTTCCCCAGAATTCAAATATTCATGGTAATTCTCAGAAGTGGAGGCATGCATTGCAGGATATCGTCTTCGAAAAGAATCACACATCATGTTCACGTCAGATTATTAGCATTTATATTCAATCACCATACTCAGTTATATACTAAATTCCACCTCTCCGATTCAGACTCCTCCTTACCAAGAATTTTCACATTAAAATTGCAAAACAAACTAAGATATTTAAATATGGCGAAGAATTAATTTAAGTAAAATAATTCTCGTCAGTCTTCACTGTGTAACATAGGTCACACCCGAAATTTAGCAAATTGCATAAGCTTTTCATCCCCCTAAGTTTATACCTTCTTCAATTGTGGAAATATCAGCGTCAAAGGTTTGGATTATCTGGGATAAAGAAGCTTGGGAAGGAACAAAAGCTCTTGGAGGCCAACATTCTATCTCAGTGCACCTCAGGAATCTCTTCACTTGTTTTGAATGGGTGCTTTCAGTGATTTAAGCCCCCACAAACAGAACTGAAGGTCTAAAACTTGGCTTGAGTTATCTGCAGTTAAGGGCCTCATCACCGAGCCATGGGTAATTTGTGGTGACTTTAGCCATGGGTACTCACTGGTGGTCAATTCACTTGGTTTGAAATATGAAGTTTTTGAGGAATTGGTGAAACAATGGTGGAATTACTTTTACATTTATGGCAGCCCGGACTTCATTTTTGCTAAAAATTTGCAGCAACTAAAAGCAAAGCTAAAGGAGTGGAATCATCACATCTTTGGAAGGTTGGAACATAGGAAATCTGAAATTTTGAGAAAGGTGCAGTGGTTTGGCAAGGAAGCAAACCAGGAAACTCACTGAAGATGAAAAACTCCTCAAAGATGAATCTTCCATGGAGTTGGAGGGAAGTGCAAGATTAGAGGAAATGTCATGGAGACAAATGTCCAGGTGCTTATGCGGTTCTACCTTGAATTAGGAGACAAAAATACAGTTTTCACAAGATGGTGAGTGCTCATTGGATATACAATCACAATAATCGATTAGAATCAAATGGGATGTTAGTGGAAGATGAAGAGCACATAAGCGGTGAAATATTGAATTTCTATGAGCCTCTATACAAATCCTCAATCCATTGAAGGCTTTCATGGTATAAGACAACACTCCAACCATTTCAGATAAAAAAATCAGCTGATGCAAAGACCCTTTGATGAAGAGATTATAAGGCACCTGCCTGGATGATTTTACAATGGAATTTTACAAGAAATGCTGGGGCATCATCAAGTCTGTTCTTATCATGGCCGTCAACCATTTTCACACTCGTGATAGGTTTGAGAAAAGTTTTAATGCTTCTTACGTTGTCCTAATCCCTAAGGAGAATGGTGCTACGGAGTTAAGGGGTTTCGGCCAATAAGTCTAATTGTTACTTTTTACAAGGTGCTTTCTGAGTTACTCGCTAACAAACTTAGAACAGTTATGGATCAGTTGGAGGCACAATCTCAAATGGCTTTCATCCTAGGAAGACAAATAGCGGATGCTTCCCTCATTGCTTATGAGTGCCTTGACTCCAGAATGAGGAAGAAAGAAGCTGGAATTGTTTGTAAGGTGGACTTGGAAAAGATGTATGATCATGTGAACTGCCAATTTTTACTAGAGGCACTAAAATTATGGAGATTGGCATTAAATGGATGAACTGGATAAAAGCTTATATTTCCATAGCCTACTTTTCAGTCAGTAAAGGGTAGTCCATAGTGATTCTTTCCATCCCCTAGAGGAATGAGGTGCCTTTTCTATTCAGTAGAGGTGGTTTGAGGCAGGGAAATCCTCTTTCTCCTTTTCTCTTCCGTATAGTTATGGAAGCTTTCAATTGAATGCTAAATAATGCCATGGACAGGGGATGGTTAAAAGGGTTCACTGTGCTAGAAGGGAACAATTAGAAGGTGAAGATATCTCACATTTTCTACGCAGATAACACATTGCCTCTATATGGGGCAGAGAAGCAGCAAATCATGTATCTGAGAGAATGCTACTAATATTTGAGGCTTTTTTTGGATTACTGATCTGTCTAAGAGCTTCCTGTTTTTGGTGAATGAAGGCAGGAACATACAGGCATTGGCCAGCGTCCTGGAATGCAAAGTAAGAGCACTACAAATTTCTTTTACAATCATGTGACAAAATTCTGACACTTAGCAAACCAAGATGCTCCTACTTTGGATCCCAAGATACATGCCAATGCCTCTGTTTTCCTTGCCATCTTCCACAACAGGCTAAAGTGTTTAATTGGATTGGTCCAAGCTTTATTACAGAGGATCATCAGAAACCTGGTAGTCTGCTGTCTTCCTGACGTCTGTATTGGAGGTTGGGGGATTGGAAACTTGTTCCTTTTTTTTTTGCTCAAAATTACTTGTGGCTGTTTGATATTGGTCGACTTTCAGATGCATTAATCTTCAGACATATATCTAAAAAATATAAGTCGTGAGCAGTATTTTCGCCTGAGGCTTCTTTCTATAACCTTCACCTCTCCTGTAGTTTTTATATATTACAGTAACCTTCCTTATTTTAGGTTTTGAGTACCCAAACTTGTTTTTGTATGTTGATCATCATGCTTGCCCTTTATAATATAATACTCCCTCCGTTTCAATTTATGTGAACCTGTTTGACTGGCCACGGAGTTTAAGAAAAAATGAAGACTTTTGGAATTTGTGGTCCTAAACAAGTTAAAAAGGGGCCCAGAGTATTTGTGTGGGTATAAAAGCTTCTCATTAAGGGTAGAGTTGTAAGTTTATACTAAATTATTTCCAAATTTAGAAAGGGTTCATTCTTTTTGGAACGGACCAAAAAGGAAATAGGCTCACATAAACCGGAACGGACGGAGTAGTAGTTTCTCAAAAAGTTGTGTGTGCGCATCGCTATGAAGTGTTTAAAGCTTTATTTTTATTCTAGAGACGCTTCAAAATATGATATCCTGAAGGGAAAGTTGATCAGATAAATAAACTGAGTTTGATTGCTTACTGAGAAAAATAGGTTTTATCACTTTCAAAGCTTCGAAGAAGGTGACTGCTATGTGGATAAACTTTGGGGAAATCTTTTGTAATTTAACCCTTGTTTAGATGCATAATATTTGAAATAACATTAGAAACTAATAGCATGTATGGCCAAGCTGGAGAAATCAGCTTATTTTGAGAAGTGCTTTTTTCAAAAATGCTTCTGAAAAAAGTACTTTTGGAGAGAAGCAGTTTGTGTTTCGTTAATTAGTCTGAAAAGCACTTTTGAGAAATAATTTGTGTTTGGCCAAGCTTTTTAGAAAGCGCTTTTAAGTGTCAAATTACGAATAGGGACATGAATAGATTTACTTAATAATTAATATTATAAGGAAATAAATAATCTCAAAATTTTGTTATTACATGCAATAATTAAAACAAATCATTTTATTTAAGTAAAATATGAAAATAAAATTAAAAAGTACTTAATTCTTTTAATATAAGTTAAATATATTAAAATTCCTTAAACAAATATAAAAGCATTCACCCCTAAAGTCACTATATATTAGAAACAACAACAACAACAACAACCCAGTATAATCCCACTTAGTGGGGTCTGGGGAGGGTAGTGTGTACGCAGACCTTACCCCTACCCTAGGGTAGAGAGACTGTTTCCAAATAGACCCCCAGCATCCTTCCCTCCAAGAACTTCCCACCTTGCTCTTGGGGAGACTCGAACTCACAACCTCTCGGTTGGAAGTGGGGGTTGCTTACCATCAGAGCAACCCCTCTTTATATATTAGAAAGTTTTCCTAAAAATAAGAAGAAATATTTATAAATTAATATCCTAAATATTAGGTTTAAGGATTATTTTGGTATATACTATATTTTGTTAAGGGCATTTTAGGTAAGAAGAAAAGCCAAAACTGCTTCTGCTTTTGGAAAGAAGCTACTTTTTTGTGCTTCTCTGAAACTGCTTCTGCTTCTTCCCAAAAGCACTTTTTTACCCCAAATAAGCTTGGCCAAACACCTCAAGTTAGGAAAAAAAAGTGCTTTTGGGAAAAAAAAACACTTTTGGCCTCTTGAGAAGCTTGGCCAAACAGGCTATAAAACCACTAATTTCAAGACACAACAAATGGTTTAGTATTTGCATTAGTATGATCAGTTCTAGATCTTTGTTGAAGATAAATGAGTATTTGTTTTTTAAGACTCAAAAAAGAAAAAAGACGAAACGTAAACCCAATACACTATAGATGCTGCTTTAATAAATCATGGGAGTTTTTCGCCTTTTAGAGCTAATTCATACATTCTTTAATTTCTGCTCTGTGTAGAGTTAACACTTACGGTCTATAATTTTCAGGACGCTGTGAAATCCTGCCTTTTTGTCAATGCTCCTTTGCTCTATAGAGCTGCGTGTCAAGTACCGTTCTCTGTTCTCAAGTATGCAATGACACTTGATGGTGAGCGCAGAGCCTATGTTGCAGCACTGTTATGGTAACAAATCACAATTTTCATTAACAAATTGAAAAATCACCTGTTGTCACATTATGGTGTATACAGGGAAAATTTCTGCTAGTAGTGGTCATGCATCATGGATCAGTAGCAAAAAGTCAAGAACTCGTGTTTTTGAAATGAGGGGTAGAAGTGATGCTGTTATTGTTGGAGGAAATACTGTGCGCAGAGACAGTATGACTCTTCCCAGTCCTATATAAATGTCCGAATGTTGTTAATATACTGTCAGCTTTAGTAGAGATACTGAAAATGGCTTTATGCCGCTTAACTTTGATGAGATGCCCCAGATATTTTACTGTTACTATACTTTTGATTTTGGTTTCCAGATCCACGTTTGACGGTTAGACATGGTGGCAGCCATCTTCCCCGACGTATTGTATTATCTCAAACTCTTGATCTTCCAGAAGAAGCACATATTTGGAATGTTTCTGAGGTCCCCACTATAGTTGCTACACAAAGAGGTGCAAGGAGGAGTTTTCAAAAATTGCTTGCATCCAAAGGCGTTGAAGTGGTTGAATTTGATATTTTAGATCCTAGAGATGTTATGGGGTATTTATATGATCGTGGTTACCTCTCAATTCTGTGGGAGTGTGGAGGGACACTGGCTGCATCTGCTATTTCTTCTGGGGTCATACACAAGGTTTGCTCTCATATTTTTTACTCTCCTGCTGAGCTTTTATTACTTGTAAGGAAGATATTTGATTTAGCCTCTTTAATTCTTAAATGGAGAGTATACAACTGAAAGGCTAATTTTGATTTTCTATTTAAACCGTTTTAGAAGTTTTTGTTCTTTTACACCAGTGAATGACAGCGAGCTGCCTGATTCAGGGGCTTTTTGCATCAGATNTATTTGATTTAGCCTCTTTAATTCTTAAATGGAGAGTATACAACTGAAAGGCTAATTTTGATTTTCTATTTAAACCGTTTTAGAAGTTTTTGTTCTTTTACACCAGTGAATGACAGCGAGCTGCCTGATTCAGGGGCTTTTTGCTTCAGATGAGCCAATGCAAGGATATATCTCATTGTGTTTTAACTAAATAAGAGTGTCAGTGTGACTTGTCTAGTGCATGGATTCCTTTTGGTTCATTTTTTATTATTCATTGTACTATCAAAAGTTTCTGTCAATGCTCAGAGCATAGTCTATCAAACTCCAGCGGTTTGTGTATCTTCCTTTGTTTTGCTTACAGTTCAGCCTTTAAGGTCGTCTTCGTCTTATTAATAATTCATCAGTCCTGTTTGTTGGCAGCTCTTCTAGTTGACTGAGTTATTAAGCACTTTTTTCTGCTCTGCTTAAGGAAAGTTCAGATAGTTTGCATATGGATAGGAATTTTTAGTTTTGTTTTGCAGTTATATATTTCAAACTTACTGCAGGTACATGCATTTGTTGCTCCCAAAATTATAGGTGGGAAGAATGCACCGTCTCCAGTCGGTGAACTTGGAATGGTAGAGATGACCCAGGCTCTGGAACTAATTGATGTTTGCTATGAGCAGGTCAATATTCTTCTCCTTTAAAATCCCTGATGATGCGCATAATAGATGCATGTATTGCTGTCACTTATCCGCACAACCCCCCCACCCCCCACACAAAAAAAAAATTAAAAAAATAAGGGAAATGCATGTAATGCTGTCTGGTCTGGCTTAATCCTTAATTATGTATCATGTGCTACTGCGCACAAGTTACAGCCTGCGCATTTTCCTTGTTTTGGCCTTGTCCAAATTTCTGGCAGGAATGGCAATGGGGCAGGTGCGGTGCGAGTTGGAGCTTAACCCGCAAAATTTCAACCCGCCCCGGCCCGCATTTTTCTTTCTTTCATTTTGTTATTTTTGCTAAGAAAACACAAGTTTAATATTTTATTTTTTTCCAGTTTCTCAAATCCCTCATATGGATCCAAATATTATATTTCTATTTTCAGAGATTGTAATAGAAAATAAATAAATTGAAACGCGTAAGAACTAAAAAATTAAATGAATAGAAAAGCATAAAAACTAGAAAATAAATGAATTGAAAAGAATAACATCAGCATATCGTATACCTAAATTTACGTAGTAACTTATACTTGATAAATTTCCATGTAAGAAATATTAATTTTTTATAACTAGTTTTAAATATAATATGTAAGCTCATATATGTTTGCTGATACTTTAAGTGAAATATGATATAATAGTAGTGGACAATGTCCTTGGCACGTATAGGTGAATGTCTTGTATATTTAACCGTAATAATTGCATAGTCATATTCTCTAGTCACTCTATATTATTGCTTGCCTTATTTTGTACGGTCTATAGTAATTTCCATGGTGTAAACCCGCAAGGAAACCCGCAGCCGCCCCNCCCGACATACTTGTTAGTGGGTTTCTTCAGCCAGTTCCTGATCTGACACCTACTATTCCATCGGTAGAAGAAACTTCGGCCATTGATCCTACCATTTCTCCTTATGAATCAAGCATCATATTCTTTTACAAGACATGGGATCCATATGGTGGCTTCTCAAACTTCTCTCTCCATCCATTTCAAATGCCTAATGAAAATGGAGAACTTGTCACCTGGTCCAGTGTAGAGCATTATTACCAGGTCATTTTCTTGAAAAACATCAAGATAAGACTTTATTATTTGCAGCACCTTTCAGACATTTGATAACTAGTTCTTTAATTGCAGGCACAAAAGTTTGTTGGGGCATCTGATCCTGTAGCTAAGAGCTGCATGGAAGAAATACAATGTGCAAAGAGCCCTGAGGAAGCAGCACGAATAGGAAGGAGAATACAGAGGCAGCAACCTAATCTGGTATTCTTTACATTCTTCTTACAACATATTCCTATTGCTTCTCCATATACTATGATTTTCCCCGTAATTCTTTCTTTCTAGGCTGCTTTACTCATGTGTTCCAGAAAGCATAAGCATGCCACTTCAAACTAGGTGGAACAACATGATCAATTGTATTGTAAATACTTGGCCCAAAATTGGGTGAGGTCAGAAGCTACCTACCCCCTATTTGATAGTATCTCCAAAGTGGCTTACTGAGCCAAAATAAATAAATTTAAACCCAACAGAAAGTGTTTTGTTTTTCATTACGAGGTAAAGCTAATTAACTCAAACAATGAAGTGTTATAAAATAAAAAAAGGAGTTTTGGAAAGATCACTGGCAGACAGCAGATCCCCAGTAGTACTGGTGTACTATCCACAATCCCAGGGTCTAGGATGCAGTAGGTCAAATTCCGGAGAAAGATGCTTCAAAAAAGTAGTGACGCTGATATGTGGTGGCAGTACTATGCAGAGGACAATTTGTAACTTGGAAGTATTGCCAGTGTGCAACGAAGAGTTGTAGTTCAGTAGCAAACATACCTTGGGATTCCACACTTTAAAAAGTTTGGCAGAATACCTAAAGACCCCCTTAAACTTGGCACGTTTTGTTCAGGCCCCCCTTAAACTTTACCTAGTCCTAATTACCCCCTTGTACTTGGTTTTTCCATCATCTTTACCCCCTCAAATGGCCACCTGACAGAGAAAGTGATTTCACATGTCCTTTGACCGCGTGAGAATGAAAAATAACAGCCACATTTATTGTTCAATTGGGAGAATACAAATTAAAATACCATTCCCTTACTTTTCAACCATTTCAACGGCCATTTCTTTATATTCTTCAATATAACTTCTTTCATCCTCCACTAAAGTACTGATTTTTCTTCTTTTCTCGTTTTTCTTTTTTTTCATTTCTTTCTTTATTAGATATTTTTTAGTCACTCGCTTCCATTACTTACTATATTACTGTTGTTATTGCTTGTTGCTTTATTTTTACCGTTCTTAAACCGAGGGTCTATCGGAAACAACCTCTCTGCTTTTATAGGGTAGGGGTAAGGTTGCGTACACACTACCCTCCCCAGACCCCCACGTATGGAATTAAGCTGGGTTTGTTGTTGTTGTTGTTTGTTAGTCTTATTTATTGGTTGCCTCTGTTAGTGGGTTACTATTGTTTATAAAGAGAGTTACAGTGATGAATTGATTGGAATTTTTACTTTTGAGAAACTCAGATTTTCTAACTCCCTAAACCCAATCCAAAAGTCAACAGAGATGGGTTGGAAGTACGAGCTTGGGAAATCGTCTGAGGAAAGCCCTAAAATTTCTCTAACATATATAAGAGAAAAATATCAATGCTTTGTTATTTTGAGTTTGGATTTTTATTTTTATTTTTTGAACTTCAGACTAAATTATTTAAGTTCAGGTAATTAAAAGGTTTTTTTTTGCCAATGTGGCAGCCACATCAGCTATTATTCCAATCTGGTAGGCGTGTGATTTGTTACGCAACGCCTTCCTGATGTTCTTTGGAAGGGCAACGTAAGGCTAAGCAACCGATGTCAGTGCGGTTGTTGTCCGCCAATGAGGTCCCCTCCGCACGCTAGACTAGATTGTCAGTGCCGTGCGGGAAAATCAATGTCCTGAGCAATTGCGGAAGCTGAGAGAGAATTGGGTTTTGAATGATGATGATGATTTTATTGATGATTGAAAATGATGATTACAATGATGCGGTGTCGAGGGGGAGAGACACCAGAAAATGCTTGCTTGAAAATGTTTGATTGTTTGGTCCCCCTTAATAATGCTTAAAAAAAATAAACCAACATTACAAGACTAGTCCTAATAAAGCTGTAGAAGCACACTGAAATGAAAATGATGTAAACTAGCCTATGATTACAATGAAAAGGACTTAGATTATTACAAGGTAAAACTAAGTCCGATGGCAGCATCTTTGTCTTGCGGGTCAGGGTCTGCGCGCGCGTTGCTGTGGGCGCGCGCGACACTTGATGTGCTGGCCTGAGGCTGGGCACT